AAAAAAGGCTGGACGTGGTGGCTCATGCCTGTAATCCCAGCACTTTGGGAGGCTGAGGAGGGTGGATCACGAGGTCAGCAGTTCAAGACCAACCTGACTAACATGGAGAAACCCCGTCTCTACTGAAAATACAAAAATTAGCTGGGCATGGTGGTGCATGCCTGTAATCCCAGCTACTGAGGAGGCTGAGGCAGGAGAATCGCTTGAACCTGGGAGGCAGAGGTTGCAGTGAGCCGAGATCAGGCTATTGCACTCCAGCCTGGGCGACAGAGTAAGACTCTGTCTCAAAAAATATATATACGCATATATATACACAATATATAAATATGTATTGTATATTGTGTATATATATACACAACCATATACATGTTTTGATTATAAAATCAAGTTTATTTGTCAAATATAATCAGTGACATAACCCGAAAATTATCCTTCACATAATTTAAATTTTGGGAATGGTATTCCTGGGCTAAAACTAAAATGAATATAACTTCTTCTCTCTCCTATTTCACAGAATGAAATTCTTCTCGAAAAAAAGACCAAGAGAAGTAAGATTCTGAAGCTGAAGTTCCCAAGGACAGAAGAAGAAAAACGAATGCGGACCCAAAGTAAAAGGAGGCTAGAAACTAAGAAAGAGCAGCGGCAGAAAAACTTTGTGGACCTGGCTTGTGAGTGCAGTGCAGTCATCTGCTGCCGCGTCACCCCCAAGCAGAAGGCCATGGTGGTGGACCTGGTGAAGAAGTACAAGAAAGCCATCACGCTGGCCATTGGAGACGGGGCCAATGACGTGAACATGATCAAAAGTGAGTCATGCACCGATGGCCAGTGAGGACCAATGAGCTAGAGAGGAGAAATGGCTGGAATGTTTGGGGGTGTTTTTTTTTTTTTTAGATTTTACAGCTTAAATTTTCATAGAGCATATGTTTCATAAAGTCACTTAACCATGACAACACCTGTGACCCTATCCCCAGAAAGCCCACAGCCCATCAGGAGGAAAAGGTATTGCTGACAGGGCTCCTGAAGGATGCTAAGAGGAAGATCAGGTCTATGAGGGGTGGGAATTCATCCTTATATTTTTCTTCTTTTACATAGATGTGGTATATTTTGTTCCCTCTTACTGGTTCTCTCCCCATATTTCTTTTGGGCTTATTAAAACCCTGATATTGGCCGGGCACGGTGGCTCACGCCTGTAATCCCAGCACTTTGGGAGGCCAAGGCGGGCTGATCATGAGGTCAGGCATCCAAGACCAGCCTGGCCAACATGATGAAACCCCGTCTTTATTAAAAATACAAAAATTAGCCAGGTGTGGTGGTGCACATCTGTAATCCCAGCGACTTGGGAGGCTGAGGCAGAAGAATCACTTGAGCCCGGGAGGTAGAGGTTGCAGTGAGCCAAGATCATGCCACTGCACTCCAGCCTGGGCGACAGAGTGAGACTGTCTCAAAAAAACAAAAAAAACCTTGATAGTTAATAAGTTTTGTAAGATAAATTGTTGAACTCTGGTGCTTGCTTTGATAATATTCTCCCTCACCTAAACATCTCTTTCTGGGGCTTTCTTCTTACCTGTGGTAAATGTGTGGGAGCTTCATCATTGGGTCACCTGCTGTGAGTTTAGAGTCACATGTTTAGCATTGAAGAAAAGCTTCCACGTGGTCTCACCATCCTCCTGACCTCCCTAGAAGGCTGCCTTTTGCTGGTTGCTAGAACTTAGGTTCACACAATTAAAAGATTGAGTCCAGCCGTGCAGAAATACAGCTGTGCTGGCATTAAAGCCTGCAGAACCACACCTGCCGCCCTCATCTCTGTCTGAGTCCTGTTCCTTTTTCCACCCTGTTACTATAAGGAGTATCTTGTAATGAAAATACTCAAACCAATGACCTGGATATTCATCCTCATCGTATTGTCAAAATCCTGTGTCACCTTGGCCTTACGCTCAGGTTTCAGTTTTCTTATTGGAAAAGGAAATAATCCCTAATGCCACCTCCAGCTCTGTCATATTATTATTGCTGGGCTGAAGTATTACCTGACTATACATAGGTAACTGCATGTTCCTGTAGTGCTGGGTGGCTTAAATGCATTATATATAACTAGACTTTTCAGTCTATTTTGTGACTCATGAGTCTGTCTCTTTCTTTTCTTAGTCTCTTCCTCCTCCTTGATGTATACTAAGAATATTCCAACTTTATCTTCCTCAGCAGGAGTCAGCTGTATGACGTATGTCATCTTGCCTTCTTTATCAGTGCGTATGTCTGTCGTCACTGGCGGTTTAATTCATCCCCACAATTTTTTTGCATGTGCTTGTCGTACCATACGAATGGTATTGCTTGCATGGAATTAGATCTATCTCTTTCCTCTGTAGCCAGCCAGCTCTAGTTTATTTCCGTTATGTATCTTTAACTTAATTAGCTGTGCCAAAATGACAAGTCAAACATGATTTTTATTCAGTTATTAAGTATCCGTCTAGATAATGGGAGGGGAGGGGTTTGCTTTGGAGATTTATCAACTGATTATGGGCTTAGACTTGAAACATTTTGTTCCTCTGAGCTCACTCATACATAATGAGAGGGATTGCACAAAGTCAACATATATAACCTTATAGCGGATTTTCTTACATTGTCTTAAAATTTTTATTAAGCACCAGGTGCATTCATTCATTCATTCATTCAGAAACAAAGTCTCCCTCTGTGACCCAGGCTGGAGTGCAGTGGCACGATCTTGGCTCATCTCCACCTCCTGGGCTCAAGCAATCCTCCCACCTCAGCCTCCCTAGTGGCTGGGACTACAGGCATAAGCCACCATGCCCAGTTAATTTTTGTATTTTTTGTAGAGATGAGAATTTGCCTTGTTGTTCAGGCTGGTATCGAACTCCTGGGCTCAATGAATCTGCCCGCCTCAGCCTCCCAAAGTGCTGGGATTACAGATTGAGCCACCACACCTTGTTCCAGGTACCTTTATATATAAGTTATACATCATTCCTTTGGGATAAAAATGTAGGAAACTTTGGGGGTCTCTTTAGAAGTTATACAAGTAGTATTAGTGTCTTTCTTTACTTTGTAAAAGCTGTCATTTCTTTCAAATGCATCAAGGACAATATACAGAAAGATTAGCTAAGTGTGGTGCCACACACATGTAGTCCCAGCTACTTGTGAGGCTGAGATGGGAAGATCACTTGAGCCTGGGAGGCTGAGACTACAGTGAGCCATGTTTGTGCCACTCCAGCCTGGGTGACAAAGCAAGATCCTTTCTCCAACAACAACAAAAAAGAACACACACACACACACACACACACACACACACACAAAGAAATTGCTGGTCATAAAGTAGTGAAATTCAAGTGTCAAAAATAATCTGAGCGTTTGCTAACAGGTTTCATGTTTAGCAGTGTAGACTGGAAGAAGTGAAGGAATCATGATCCACCACGTTTTTGCCCCTAGCAAGGATCCAAGGACTCTCATAGGCAGCTTTCTCCCTCTATCCTACCTGAAGATACCTCATTCCAGCTGGGTGGATGTCGTCTCTTTTGGTCTTAGAGCCTGAGAATGTACATGAAGCATGAGAAGGATAAAGGCAAGGTGGAGCATGGTGGCTCACACCCGTAATCCCTGCACTTTGGGAGGATGAGGCAGGCAGATCACCTGAGATCAGGAGTTCAAGACCAGCCTGGCTAACATGACGAAACCCCATCTCCACTAAAAATACAAAAATTAGTCAGGCATGGTGGCAGGTGCCTGTAATCCCAGCTACTTGGGAGCCTGAGGCAGGAGAATCACTTGAACTCAGGAGGCGGAGGTTGTAGTGAGCCGAGATTGTGCAGCGCACCACCGCACTGCATCCTGGGCAACAGAGCAAGATTCCATCTCAAAAAAAAAAAAAAAAAAAAGGCAAGAGGGATGATTGCTGTAGTGAGGAAATAGTCCTTTTGTTAAGGAATGATGGAGTGCCTACCAGTGAGCCATCTAACGCCTCATTTGAGAGGAAACTCTAAGTGCATATACTTACATTTTACAAAAAAGGCCAATGTCACCTTATAGTGCTATCTGTTGAGGTGCTTTTGGTTGCCCTGGGAACTATGACAGTGTTCATTTCACATCTGTCCTTGCTCTGCTCAGTGGGAAGGCTGAGGACTGGATACCAGGGCCTAGGGTAGGGGTTCCTCTCCCTCAGCTGCAACAGCCAAGAGAATCTCAGTGTTTTCCTCCGTGGCTTGTTCAGGAAAGAAAAGAAGGCCACAGTTTGGCAGGAAGGAGCAGTCCCGCAGCCATTCTGGTCATAGGAAATATTTGTGTGTTTTAAAAGAGATCATAACTATTAGACTAGATGCCATTTGTTCTGTTTTTTAGAACTGCAAAGTGTTACTGAAAATGCAGATTTGGACACGTCACTACAGTTACGTTTTGAATTTGCCAGACCTTGTGTTCGGTAACTAGGGCAGGATTTTTGAAGCTTCTTTTTAGTTCGGAAATGCCACAGAGTCGCAGCCACTTGCCAGGGTCTGAGTAATGATAGGTTGTGTTCTCCAATACATCTTTTCTAAATGATCTGGTCTATCTTCACAGTCATTACTTATAAGACCCAGACAAAACTAATAATTCTCTAATCTGATAGTGTTATTTATTGACCATTGGAAGGATAAATCAATGTGACTTTAATTGTATATATTCTGGAAACTTTTTCCCCTGTAAAGAAAAAAAAATGTCTTAAAGTCTTGGAGGGCCATGAATAAGACTTTGAAAGTTTAATAGTTTCTTGGTTAAAACTCTTTTGATTGGCTGGGTGCAGTGGCTCATACCTATAATCCCAGCACTTTGGGAGACCGAGGCGGGTGGATCACAAGGCCAAGAGATCGAGACCATCCTGGTCAACATGGTGAAACCCCGTCTCTACTAAAAATACAAAAATTAGCTGGGCATGGTGGTGCACGCCTGTAGTCCCAGCTACTCAGGAGGCTGAGGCAGGAGAATTGCTTGAACCCAGGAGGCAGAGGTTGCAGTGAGCCGAGATTGCACCATTGCGTTCCAGCCTGGGTAATAAGAGCAAAACTCTGTCTCAAAAAAAAAAAATTTTTTTTGATTGCAAGTATTGGAGAACAACCAAAGCTAACTTAAGAAAAAGTACATTTGGAGGGGGGTGGGAGATGAGAGTCAATAGGGGCAGGGTCAATAGGGGCAGCAAACCACCATGGCACATGTATTCCTATGTAACAGACCTGCACATTCTGCACAGGTAGCCTGGAACTTAAAGTAAAAGAAAAAAGAAATTTATTTAAAAAGATACAAAGATATCTTGTTGTCCAAGAAGCCAGCCTCAGGAAGATGCTGGAACAAGGACATAGATTTGCACCAGGAACCCAGTATCTGTCTCTCTCCTCCTGTTCTCCTTCTTCCCCTCCTCTCTCTTCCCTCTCTTTTCCCTCGATTCCCTCCCTTCTCTCTCCCCATTCTCTCCCTTCTCCCCCACCCCTATTTATTTCTCTGGCCCTTAGAAATCATCAGGAAGAAATATATTTATTTTGGCCAGGCACAGTGGCTCATGCATGTAATCCCAGCACTTTGGGAGGCTAAGGCGGGGGGATCACCTGAGGTCAGGAGTTCAAGACCTGGACAACATGATGAAACCCTGTCTTTACAAAAAATACAAAAATTATCTGGGTGTGGTGGTGCACACCTGTAATCCCAGCTACTCAGGAGGCTGAGGCACAAGTATTGCTTGAACTAAGAAGGTTGCAGTGAGCCAAGATTGTGCCATTGCACTCCAGCCTGGTGACAGCAAAATTTCATCTCACAAAAGGAAAAAAGAAAAAGAAATATACCTATTTCTGACCTCAGTAATTTAGACCTTAAAATTCTAGATACAAAATGCCTGAATTCTAATTCCAGAATATCAAGAGAGAGACTGGCTCAGCTTGGATTTTCTGTCAGCCAGGATTTACCAAAGGAAACAGACCCCAGTTGGTACTTTTAAGCAAGATCTGATTAATACAGGGGACTAGGCACTTTCAAAAGCTCTGAATGGACTACAGAAGCAGGTTCTAAGCTAAGACACTTACCAGGAGAGCTTCTACATTTGAGGTTCCTTTAAAGAGCTTCTCATTAAGAGGCCTTTATAGTTGCCTGTCAACATCCAGGTAGCTGGAAAGTAGATATGAGCTCTGCTGCAGAAATGCCAAAAGAGGAAGGGATGCTGGGCTCTGATTCACTTCTGCTTCCAAGTCATAAATGGATCTAAACAGTGGAACCTAATTCATAAAGAGCCTAGCTACAAGGGAGTCTGGGAAATGCAGGGTTTTTATTTCCTTTCCTACCTCTCTAATTGGAACAAGAGTGGAATGAAATTGGGGAAGCTGGTTTGTAGTATCTACCATAAATTACGTATCTGCTCATGACTGAGAAAACTGTTGCCAAAAAGGCAAGGGCAGAGTTTACACATAGGTGCCTGGAGCTCACGCTGTGGATGGAAGGGATGGTTATGAGCTGGGCAAATAATCCAAATGGAATTCACCACCCACATGAGATCCTTTCCCAAATATTTATGGAAGCCCTACTGTGTGCTCTGCTTAGCAACTTGTAACTCTGACTTTGAGTTGAGTTCAAGAGCTGAGGGTGAGGGATGGTGAGCAAGAGCTTCTGTATTTATCATTCCGTCAATGTCTGTCTTTGTTTTTTGTTTTGCTATGGAACTATTTTTATTATCTGATGTTTTGCCTCACAATTGGCTTATGATCCACAGTGCTTTCTCCCTCTGTCCAATAGCTGCCCACATTGGCGTTGGAATAAGCGGACAAGAAGGAATGCAAGCTGTCATGTCGAGTGATTATTCCTTTGCCCAGTTCCGATATCTGCAGAGGCTACTACTGGTGCATGGCCGGTGGTCTTACATAAGGATGTGCAAGTTCCTACGATACTTCTTTTACAAAAACTTTGCCTTTACTTTGGTTCATTTCTGGTACTCCTTCTTCAATGGCTACTCTGCACAGGTAATGTAATGTTGTTGCTGTCGTTATTATTTACTGAGTAGAGCTCTTAAAGAAAAATCTAGTTCCAATAAACCAATTTGTTTCTTTCTCTGTATTTGTAGTTTTGGGGCTGTGTCTCCTTACAGTTGGGGTATAATTAAGTATGATCATCACTTCTCTAAATGTTTCTGGTGCTGTAAAAACACTTTGCCTTAGGAGGGGATTTGCTTGTATGTTTTTGTCTTTATCTTTGGTTACTTTTTCATGTTACCTTGCCATTAAGAGTAGTGATAACAGGGCCAGGTGCAGTGGCTCACACCTATAATCCCAGCACTTTGGGAGGCCGAGGAGGGTGGATCACTTGAGGTCAACAGTTGGAGACTAACCTGGCCAACATGGTGAAACCCCATCTCAACAAAAATTAGCTGGATGTGGTGGCGTGCATCTGTAATCCCAGCTACTCGGGAGGCTGAGGCAGAAAAATCATTTGAACCCAGGAGGCAGAGGTTACAGCAAGCTGATCGTGCCACTGCACTCCAGCCTGGGTGACAGAGCAAGGCTCCATCTCAGAAAAAAAGAAAATAAAAGAAAAAAATAGTGATAACAGGCTGGGCGCATAGACTTTTGCCTGTAATTCTAACACTTTGGGAGGCTGAGGTGGGGAAATTGTTTAAGGCCAGGAGTTTGAGACCAGCCTAGGCAACATAGCAAGACCCCATGTCTATTAAAACAAACAAAAAAAAAATTAAAAAAAAAGAAGCAGATGAGTGTGTGCTATCCCTGCTGGCATGTGTCTTTGTTGGTGACGTGGAGCCTCTGTCATCCCCTCACAGACTGCATACGAGGACTGGTTCATCACCCTCTACAACGTGCTATACTCCAGCCTGCCTGTGCTCCTCATGGGGCTGCTCGACCAGGTAGGAGCCTTGCACTGGCAGGGACACTTCTAGACAGAAGAGCATTCGTTAGAGAAGTCACAGACAAATGTTTCAGTGCATTTTTCTGGTGTTTACTTCTTTCTGATTAAACCCTATCATAATTCTGTTGTCAGGCATCAAGGGTCATGACTGTGCCTCTCATTTTGTAATAAGGAAAGAAGATTTCTCTGTAGTCCCAGCTGCTCAGGAGGCTGATGCAGGAGTATGACTTGAGCCCAGGTGTTCAAGTCTAGCCTGGGCAATAAAACAAGACCCTATCTCTAAGACAAAAAAAAAAGAGGATTTCTGTGACTGGGTTGAATTCATTGACACACATATTTGTTATGTTCCTTTCAGACAGTATGACCTTACTATGAAGACAGGGCGTGCTGGTTCGTGCCTGTAATCCCAGTACTTTGGGAGGCTGAGGCAGGCAGATTGCTTGAGGTCAGCAGTTCGAGACCAGCCCGGGCAACATAGGGAGACCCCCCCATCTCTACAAAAAATACAAAAATTAGTAGGCATGGTAATGCACACCTGTGAAGTCCAGCTACTTAGGAGGATGAGATGGGAGGGTTACTTGAGCCTGGGAAGTTGAAGCTGCAGTGAGTCATGTTTGTGCCACTGTCCTCCAGGCTGAGCAACAAAGTGAGACCCTATCTCCAAAAAAAGAAGAAAAAGAAAAAATGACACCTGAGAGTCCAATATGTCTCTACAATAATAACTTACTCATTTTAAAGTAAATTTAAAGCCCTTCCAAAGTTTATGTAGCTAATCTATATTTGTATCTAATAGCAATTCTTAAAGAGAAAGAAGTGCTATAAAGATGAAAAAATAATTTTCAATTAACTCATCAACTTGCATGAGAACATTTTTTTCCCAAAGGATTTGCAGCGATGTGTATTCACTCAGGAGGTGAAAACAGCCTCCCAACTTACTTTTTGACATTACTAATTTGTTTTCTTTCTATGAGTAGCAAAGTAATAAACTTATACCTAGCTCTTCTCTGAATTAAATATTAAGTAATGATGGTCTAATGCAATATCAAATAATGGTGGTCTAATGCAATATCAAATAATGGTGGTCTAATGCAATATTTGTGGTGTGCAGAGGTTGAGCTCTCACACCACAAATATTGCAGGATTGATTGATTATCTTGTTCAGTTTTGGCCTTCTTAAAATTTAACAGCAGGCTGCAACTTTTTGTGAGATATTAATTATAACATATCTCAGCTGGGTGCAGTGGCTCATGCCTGTAATCCCAGCACTTTGGGAGGCCAAGGCGGGAGAATCATCATCTGAGGTTGGGAGTTCACGACCAGCCTGACCAACATGGAGAAACCCCATCTCTAATAAAAATACAAAATTAGCCAGGTGTGGTGGTGCATGCCTGTAATCCTAGCTACTCAGGAGGCTTAGACAGAATCACTTGAACCCAGGAGGTGAAGGTTACCATGAGCCAAGATCGCACCATTGCACTCCAGCCTGGGCAACAAGAGCAAAACTCTGTCTCTCTCTCTATATATATATATACCATATCTCTGACTGCTTTGACCTGATGAATAAAACACCATCATTTTGTTTTCTCCTTAAGGATGTGAGTGACAAACTGAGCCTCCGATTCCCTGGGTTATATGTAGTGGGACAAAGAGACTTACTATTCAACTATAAGAGATTCTTCGTAAGCCTGTTGCATGGGGTCCTAACATCGATGATCCTCTTCTTCATACCTCTTGGAGCTTATCTGCAAACCGTAGGGCAGGATGGAGAGGCACCTTCCGACTACCAGTCTTTTGCCGTCACCATGGCCTCTGCTCTTGTAATAACAGTCAATTTCCAGGTAAGTGGCTTTCATGGGCCATATTCAGTGTCAATTGGTACCTATCTATATTTCTGTATATAGACTGGCGTGCACATCCACCTGACTCCCACTTCACCTCTACCACTTACAAACTATGAATGCTATTTTCATCTCTTATACCAAGCATATTTTCTATTTCTTGCCTGAGTCAATGAAGGTTTGGTTTCTGATTGTCCAGTACTCAAGCCAAATCATGCCTAAATTGCTGAATTCATTTTCAGGATTGTTAGATCCTTTATTTCTTGCTAATTCCCCAAAATGAGTGCTCTGTTTTTCTCTGGTTTCCCAACAGATTGGCTTGGATACTTCTTACTGGACTTTTGTGAATGCTTTTTCAATTTTTGGAAGCATTGCACTTTATTTTGGCATCATGTTTGACTTTCATAGTGCTGGAATACATGTTCTCTTTCCATCTGCATTTCAATTTACAGGTTGGTATTTTCTAAATTCCAAAAATAAATGTTCGGACAAATGTCATTAGTTTAGATTTTGACATAACTTCTGGTAAGTAATAAAATATACAAGGGGGAATGACCAGGCGCAGTGGCTCACACCTGTAATCTCAGCACTTCAGGAGGCTGAGGCAGGCGGATTGCTTGAGCCCAGCAGTTCAAGACCAGCCTGGGCAACATGGCAAAACCCCATCTCTAAAAAAATAAATCAGCCAGGCATGGTGGCACACAGTTGTAGTTCTAGCTACTTGAGAGACTGAAGTGGTAGGATCATTTGACCCAGGACGTTGAGGCCACAGTGAGTAGTGGTTGCACTGCTGTACTCCAGTCTGGGTGACAGAGAAAGACCCTGTCTCAAAAAAAGCAAAGCAAAACAAAAATATATAAAGTATAAATTATTGCTAGTGAAAATTAATGTCCTGTCTGGAAATTAAATGGTGATGATGGGTTGAAAGGACGTAACACGATGAGAAGAAAACAAAATAGCTTTACGAGAGTACTGTGTGTGTGTTGAGTTACATAACTTAAGACTTAAAAGGCTAGATAAAAGGCTATTCTTTCTTTCCCATAAAACCTAATAATGGGGCCAGATGTGGTGGCTCACGCCTATAATCCCAGCACTTTGGGAGGCCAAGACAGGAGGACTGCTTGAGCCCAGGAGTTCAAGACAAGACTGGGCAACATTGGGAAACCTTGTCTCTACAAAAAAAAAAAAAAAAATTATAAAATTGAAAACAAATTAGCTGGGCATGGTGGTACACACTGGTGATCCCAGCTACTCAGGAGGCTGAGGTGGGAAGGATTGCTTTAGCCTGGGAGATCGAGGCTGCAGTGAACCATGATTATGCCACCCCAGCCTGGGTGGCAGAGCAAGACCCTTTCTTAAAAGATCCAAAAACCAACTATTGGTAGGTTTTTGGAAAAGTGAGTATGCATGTGTTGCTGGTAACACTGCAATATATTTTAATTTTTCCAAACGTTATTTGAAAATGCATAAGGGATTATGAAACTCTTTATATATTTTGGCCAGGTATTTCTACTTGAGGAAAATACCCCAAGATAATAAAACACACCAAGTTTTGGTAAGCTAATTTCCACAGATGGCACCACCATAACATTTCTAAATTGTTAAAAAGCGGAAAAAATAGAAATAGTCCAAAACCTAAGAATATTATTAAATTAGCTAATCATACCATGAAACACCAATATAATAAAATTCTAGAATTCAAAAGTAACCTACATTATTAGAAATAGAAATATGTGTGCAGGCCAGGCACAGTGGCTCACACCTATAGTCCCTGCAGTTTGGGAGGCCAAGGCAGGAAAATCACTTGAGCCTAGGAGTTCAAGACCAGCCTGGGCAACATAGTGTGAGACCCTATCTCTTAAAAAAATAATAATAAAGTAATTAAAAAAACAAATAAATATGTGTGCAGGGCAATAACTGATAGAAAACAAAATAGTTATGTGACCAATGATTACAACTGCAGAAAACATATGACAAATTGACAAATGCTAGAATGAATTTGAACTGATATAAATATCATAAATATTATAAATAGAAAATATAAATAATTATGAACTGGAATTCATGAGATTATTTTTAATAGAGAGCTTAAAGTCACAATGAAAAACCATCCCCATAAACTAGTTTCCCTGTAAAAGATTCGGATTTTAATGACCAGTTGTTGGGTTGTAAAAGTCAGTTGCTGTGGTAACCCTTTCCTTCTTGGGATTGAGCTCATTTTTTTGTGATTGTGTTTTTCTTTACTAACTCTGTGTTTTAAAATATTAGTAACCCAGTTACTTAGAATATTCCCATAGGCGGCTGGGAGGGGTGGCTCACGCCTGTAATCCCAGCACTCTGGGAGGCCGAGGCGGGTGGATCACGAGGTCAAGCGATCGAGACCATCCTGGGCAACATGGTGAAACCCTGTCTACTAAAAAGTACAAAAATTAGCTGGGCATGGTGGTGTG